TATACGATATATATTTATTTATTTATTTATCTATATATATATATATATCTTTTTCCGACGGCATGTATGAAAGTCTACTGATTGAGAGTCAGTCTTCTCTGTACTGTGAAGAAGATAAGGAAGAAGAAGAAGAAGATACTGTTTCTTCTCTTTTTGACACAACGATTCATTTGATTGCGGAATAACTTTTTTCAAAAGAGTTTTTTTTACGGAGTGCGGGCATAGTGCGCAGGGTAGTGATGATAATAGTGGTGATGGTTCAGGTAATGATGGAGATAGTAATGGTGCTTATGGTGATGGTGGTGGTGTGAATGTGGATTGTTGTGAGTAGCGCGAGCGAGCGCGGCGTGACGTCGATTTCATCGCCGACCTTGCGGCCGCTAACCTGATTCTTCTCCAGTTCCTGGCACAGCATCTCGAGCTGCGCCTGGAACCGCTCACGTTCCACGGTCGCCTGCTTAATTTCCTCGTGCGCGCGTTCCAGCTCCTTTCTCAACCTGCCGACCTCCTGACCGTTCTGTTGCGAGGGCGGCTGCTGCTGCTGCTGTTGCAGCTGTTGTTGCTGTTGTTGTATGGTAACCTGCATCTGTTGAATCTGTTGTTGGTGTACGTGTAGTTGTCGCTCCGTCGTCTGTATGCGTTTTTGCAGGTCGCCAGCCTCGCGCTCGGCCGTGTCTGCCCGCTGGCGCTCCGTTTCGCAGAGCTTCCGCCACTGTTCGAGCTGGGCCACGTCGGGCTGCGTCGTTTCGACTCCGCGCGACGCGAGTTGTTTCTGCAGCTCCTGTACCCGTTTCTCCGATTGCTCGGCGCGTTGGCGTTCCTTCTGTTGCGCCTGCTGCAGATTTTGGACCTGCTGCTGGAGCCGCTGCACTTCGCGCATCTGTGCGTCGAGCGCCTCTTTGGCGACGCGATCGGGCGTCTGCGCGTGGGCTCGCTGTTGAAGACGGCGGGCCTCTTCGCGCTGACGCTCTAGCTCGGCCTCGTTCGCGCTCAGCTCTTGCTGGAAGTTGACCAGCATTTCTTGCGACTTCTCCAGCTGTATCACCAGCTGGTCGCGCTCTACTTGCAACTGCTTCGCATCCGCTTCCAATTTTTCCTTCATCTTCTCCGAGTGCTTTTCCCTGTTTTCCAGGATCGCTGCCATCTTGTCGCGCTCGCGCTGTGCCAGCTGCAGCTCGTACTGTAGCCGGGCATGTTCCTCGTTGCCGGCGATCTGCTGCTGCTGCTGTTGCTGCTGCTGTTGCTGTTGTATACGGCGCAATTCTTGGCGCAGCGCTTCGCGTTCATCTCTCAACAGCTGCACTTCCGCTGCGAGACGCTCGAACTCCTTCTTGCTAGCCTCGGCAGCTTCCTGATATTTGGCGGTCTGCAGGTGCGCCTTCTCGAGTTCCTTCGCGAGCCTACCGGCTTCCAACTCGACCTGATCGCGCGCCACAATCGCCTTGTCTAGACTGGCGCGTAGACGCTCGACCTCTATGCTTGCGCTCTCCGATCTCGTCTTACCCTCAGTCTGCATCAGTCGCTCCAATCGCACGATCTCAACGCGTAGCTTCTCGTTGTCCGCCTCGAGAGCATCTCCCCGCGCCTTCACCTTGTCATGCCGATCGCGAATCTTCTCGGCCTCGATCTTCGCGCGTTCGATCTCCGAACGGTTGCGTTCCTGCTGCGCCGTGGCCTTGCCGGTCTCCTCGCGCGCCCGCTCGAGTTGAAGCTGCGCCTCGTGCAGCTTCGCCTCGAGCTCGGCGTGGTTGGACTGCGTTCTCTTGAGCTCGGCCTCGCGGCCTTCCAGCCGTTCGCGCAGTATGTCCACCTCCTGTTGTAGCCTACTACCCTCGCTTTGCCACTTCTCCTGCTCGTACTGGTATTTACCTCGCACGCCCTCCGCACGCTCCAAATCGGCGCGCAGCCTCGAGGCGTCCTGCTCGGCCTTCCGCGCACGCTCGAGCTCCGCCAGGGTCTTTTCCAGACGGTCGCGTAGCCGCTCCACCTCCAGTTTCGCCCACTCGTGTTCCTCCTTCTGTCGCTCCTGGCTCTCCTGGTACTTGCCGAAGCGGGTCGCGTACCTCTCGACCTCCTCGCGCGAGCTCTCCGCCTCGGTGCGCAGCCGTTCCGCTTCCGCCTGCGCCTTCCTCACCTCCACCTGCTGACGGTCGTGCTTTTCGTACATCTTCTCGATCTCCAGCTGCATACGCGCGAGCTCTTCCTGTGTCTTCTCCGTCGCCGCCTGCGCCTTATTAAGCTGCGAGTGCGCACGCTCCAATTCGAAGCTGATGCGCTCGTTGTCGGCGACCAGCTTTTCGCGCTCGTTCTGCAGGCGCCGCAGCTCGATCTGCGATTTCTCGTAACGCTCACGCACCATCTCCAGATCGACGCTCAGCCGGTCGATGTTTTCCTTCGATTTCTCCTCGTGTTCCTTCGTACGACCGAGCTGCAGCGCTGCGCGATCGTACATCTCTTGCACCCGTGCCAGTTCCTCTTGAGCCTTGCGCGATTCCTCGCGCGATTTCGCCGCCAGCATTTGCTGTTTCTCCGTCTCGAGTTCGAGCCGATCCTTGTCGGCCTCCATTACGTCGATGCGGTTCTGCAGACGGTATACCTCGCTTTGTGCCCTGTGACAGTCGTCGTAAAATATTTAGTCTAGAAATATCCTCTGCCTTTTCTGCTACAATCTACTCGATATTCCATAATTACAGAAATTTAATCAAGAATGCATAAAAATTATTTGAAATATCTTAGTCTTCGTATAATAATATCAAATCAATTGCTACATCTGTGTGTTAAAAGTGATATATATATATATAATATATATAGACATACTCGAACTAATTGAGTCGTTTTAATGTAAAATGTTTAGTCTATTACCTATCGTATTTCTCTAGCATCTTCTCGAATTCCTTGGTAGTATTCTCCCGATCTTCGTGAGCTTTGTTCATGGAATACTGAACCTTATCCAATTTCTCTTTGAGGATTTGGATTTCAGTCAAGGCGTCGTCTCGCTCGAGCTGCCCATCCCAATTCCAGAAACCACATAGAAAAAAAAACACAATTATTTTCCTATTCTTTTTTGCAAAATAATATCTGCATCGTTCAATAAAGTAAAGCATATTTTATTATGTTAAGATTATTAGATATAATTGTCTATAAATATAAAAGTTAAAAGATTTGAAAAGATAGTAAAATTATTATTCTGCAAGAAATCAAATTTTCTCACCGTCAATTTCTGATGAGTGTTGTGCGCCTTCTCCCATCTATCCTTCACCAGATCGAGTTCTGACAGCATGTTCTCCTTTTCGCGTTGCATCTTGCCTAGCTGATTCTGCTGCAGTTCTATCCTTTCGTGCATTTTCTCCATTTCTTCCTGGAAGCTGTCTCGTTCTTTCTGTAGTCGTTGCATTATGACCTGGCGAACAATCATAACGCGAGTCAAATTATTATTAATAACTGATTTAAATCTCGGCAGGTTAATTATACTCACTTGAGCCTTTTCATATTTGTCTTGTAATCGATCGACCTCGAGTTGAATCGTTTCACGCTCCTTTTGCATCCTCGTTGACTGTCCTAGCGCCTTGTCGAGCTGGCTTTGCAGGTTCTCGAAATCGTAGTTCTGTTTCTCTCTCTCCATTTGCATCTACAATAATTATTATAATGTGTTGGCATTATTTAAATAAATAAAAATAATATGCTTATAAATTAATACAACTTGGATGCTAATAAGGGATTAAAATTAATTATCTATTTTATGATACATTTATATATCTATATATTAAATAATTTAGATTATAAAACATATGCACTTCAAGATGACAAAATTTTATAATAATCATTTAATTATGTGAATATAATATACTATCTTTTTTTTTTTTTAACTACTTACTCTACGAACTTCCGTCTGCGTCTTATCGAGCTTCTCTTGCAGCTTGTCAACTTCGCTCTGCGTTTTATCCAACATATTCTGTAATTTATCTTGCTGAAGTTGCGCCTTGCCGAGAGTAGCCTGCGTGCGTTCGAGTTCCTCCTGCGACTTTTCAAGTTCACCGATCGCCTTGTCTCTTTCTGAGTGAAGCCGAGCCACGGAGGCTTGGGCTCGATCGTACTCTTCCCGCAGGCTTTCCTGCTCGCCTTGAGCATTCTCCAGCCTGGCTTTAAGCCTGTACACTTCGCCCTGACTCTTTTCCACCTTAAACAAAGAGGAGCAAAATTTTGTTGATACTTCCCGCTTTAGGAATCTGACCGGCTCAAGTAGCTCCAGCAAGTAGCTTTTATGCAAATCTGAGCGCTTTTCAGATTTAATCAAGTATATAGCATTCGTTGTTCCAGTTATTGAATTTTCAAGCTTTGGTATCGTTAATATTTTAACATATTTAACATATTTGAATTCAAAAATTAAAAAAAATTTACATGTTGAGAGCGATTAAAATTGCAAGAATAGAAATTACATTTTTGTACAAAAAGAAAGGTTTTGCGCATACTTTTAACATTTCTTCAAAGTACTTTTTTTACGGTGTATACGTTTTTTAGAGGGTAAACTCTATAATTATGGAGAAATTATTTGTAATACAAGATCGAACATTAACGTAATTTTTCGTGTTAGAAAGATTTGCATTATTCATTTGCAGTCCTTTATTCCCTCGTTGTTAACTCGTTTCTTCACGCGCAAAAATTATGCGGCAAACTCAGCGACAAGCTGAGCAAATGCGAACTTGAGCACACTATTTAACCGTGTTTCTCCATAAGCGATATGGTAATGCGCGTGAGCAATTTTCCAGTCACTTAGGCGACGGGATCGTTACTCCGCTGCCGGTGCAGACGCGGTGCAGGACGAAGGCGTGATTGGAAATTGGATCCTATTGCACCGGCATGGATGGTGGTGGCACAGCGACGAAGAAAACCAAGGGCGATATAAAGAAGAAGGACGAGGGAAGGAACTTTTAGCTAGACGATGAGAATCGATTAAAATCGATTGTTCGCGAGGATACGCGACCGATACGGATCCGATCTGATGGAAAGTGCTCGTCAAAATGAAACTGCTGCAGTCGTGGTCCGAAATGGACCTTCAGTCGTCCATTAATAGACCACTGAGTAACGATGTATAGGTCGTGTGCTCCAGTAAAGTAGTTCAGATTACTTCTGCGCTGATCAATCGATACTACTGTAATTGGTATATAAATAGCAATCCTGCGAGAAAGATGTCAAAGAAAACGATATTTTAAGCAGCTGTGAGATTGCGATGCTCCGAAAGAGAACGTTTCCTTCGCGATTTAGGACAAAAGATATTTTAATAGCTTTTTAAATAAAAATTCGTATTAAAATGCAGCGTATTAATCTCTTTTGATGTGAATCAATAATGCTAAAATATAATAAATTGTAGCCACGGTCTTTAAAAATATGAAACATTTTTAACAAATTGTGGCAAGTCAGATTTTATGCGTCAAAAAAAAAAAAAAAAAATTCCGATACTTATTTCAATCTTTTAATGAATTTATCACAGAAATAATGCAAATTTTCAGTATTTTTTAAAAATTAGTATCAAAACTTGAATATTGTGTCATAAATATTTTTTTATCTCAATAAGACACTCACACAATAAAGCAATTATTATTAGAATAAAAAATAATTACTTTTTCTTGGAGAGACGCGGCTTCGGCACGCGCCCTCTCGTTATCCGCTTGTGTAACTCTCAGCTCTGCTTGAGCTCTTCTAAGGTCGGCGGCCGTTTTGTCGGCTCGTTCCTGAACGCGTTCCATTTCTTGGGACGAGTTCAGTGTGCTCCTGCCATATCCCTGCGATCGTTCCATGTCGTGTCGCAGCCTCTCATTCTCCAGTTCCAATCTAGCTAGTCGCTGCTTTGCCGCCTCCCAATCCGCGCCGCTGCGTCCAACCTCGGACGCGGCCTTGTCCAACTCGGCTTTGCTTTTACCAAGCTCAGATTGCGAGCTTTCCAGCTTTGCCTCCAACCGATCCTTCTCCGCCTGCGCTCGCTCCAAACGCGCGCCCAACTTCTCCACCTGACGGCAAATTATGGGATAATCATTTAAATATCACTTTTTTAATTAATCTTTTATATAATATTATTTTTTCAAGATTGCATAATTATTGTAATATAAATTAAATACACAATATATGTGTAATAGATATAAAATTGATTCTATCATTGCCATTTGTGTTGATTAGATAGGCTTCTTATTATTTATTTATTACGTGTCTCATTATCTCAATTTTGTCTATTTTTAGGAGAAACTTGGCTAATAAAAAGAATCAACAATTCACTTTACATTAATGACACATGTACAAAATTAAAGGAGAAAATCGTTTAGGCTTGGGGGGCTCACCTCGGACTCCAAAGTATGTAACTTCATTTTGTACTCGGCGATTTCCCTCTCGTGTAACTCCCTTTCCTCCTGCTTCTCTTGCTCGGCTCGGTCCCTCTGCTCACGTAATTGTGCCATTTGCTTCTCTTTATCTCCGATCGCTTCCTCGAGACTACTAAGTGCACCCTCGCTGCTGCAATGATGCGCCTGCATCGCTGTCAGCCGGGCCCTGGCCATGTCGACCTGATTATCCTTCTCCTTTAACAGGTCCTCCAAATTCTCGATCTGAAGCCAACAGCAGACTCGTAAGATCAAAAGATGATGAGTGCTGTTTTATTTGTCAGTCGTTTTGTTAATACAAATGGAAATGCTAATTTCGCCTTCGTAAGAATGACCTTTTGTTATTCGGTAATTTAGAGGATTTAATTTAATCTAAAGCTTATAACTATGGTAAGGTCAAATTTTAATATTATGGAAAATTTTACTTCACGTTAAATGTCAGGTTTATATTGATACAGTTTATTTAATTATAACACATTCCATATAAAGAAAGAGAAAAAAGGAGTGGAAAGGTAAATTATTGCATCAAAACTGCTTTACATTTAGGGAATTAAATTTGTGTCACGCGAATTGTGAATTAGCTGTGTTTAGTAATGAGTTATTATATCGCTGATGAGGTCTCATATTATCCATTAAATAAAAAGTTAATTAACATAAAGTCACGTGATTACCTACCTGCCAATGCACCTTCATTCTTCTTTTACTCACATAATCATACTTGGACATCATTGTCACGACAGGCACGCTAATGTAAAAATAAATACGGTTCTCGTGTCAAAGCAAATAATAAATTCTATAAATAGCATACGTAGATAATAACACAGGTAACGATCAAACCAATTAAAATATATATATATATATATATATATATATATATATAAATTACAGCATAAATTATATACATTAAAATATAATAACATAATTAAGTGTAGCATAATGTATTATAACTTATTTGATAAATAGTAAAAAGAATTAAAACAAGACGACTTGGAATATTTTATACAATAATAAAAAAATTAATACATATTTTTTCTTATAAATTAATATAAACGTAATAAAGGTAAAATAAAATAATTGCAAATAACAACAATAATAATTTTCGTATTCGCATAGGAATACAAGCGCACTCACCAATCAGAAACAGGACGAGTTTATTTTATTATTCTTCTACTGATCTTACCTCTCGTTATCGTTCATGAGAGGAAAGGCTCTACACACAGATATCGAGTAATAATCATAGTGCGGTAACAAAAAGTGAAAATATAATTTTGCAAACAATACAATTTATTGTCCACAAAACGCAACATAAAGGAAGGTGCAAAAATTGACAAGAACAAGGTAAGGATACGGTCGTGCGGGCGCAAAGGCAGTCGTGACGCAACGCAACGTCTTTACAAGTGTGTTTGCATTTGCACCCGCGACTATTCTACATCGACTAGCAAACGCAAAAACATTGCAAGAAAACGTCATACAAGTGCGCGCGCGCGCACACACCGCATTTGCCGTCCCAATCGACGGCCGAACCTTCGACACTCATGCGCATTCTCTCTTTTTCTCCGACGTTGCGACACCGCGTTTAGGATACATCAGCATGTCGAGTGTATGGTGCGCTCTCGCTCTTTTTCCAGCCGCTCCCGACAATTAATGCTCGGTACTTTGTGTGAATACATGGTGCGCGCTCCTAATTCAAGGATCTCGCGTCTGTCTCGTCAAACGTGAGGAAGAAAGGAGGACCTTTGTCACCTTCACGAAGCTGATGAAGCGGTAATCAAAGGCAAAAACTCTGTCAAAGCAAATTCAAAATTACTGCCGTAGGCAGGAAGCTCTCAGACAATTTTATTACAGAAAATTATAGAAAAGTATCGATTTTTTGTTCTTAAAATGACATGACTCTGATATACACCATTTTCCTTCATCCTTCTTTTTCACGCAAAATATTTCTTTTTATCTTATAGAAATTATTTTCAGCATTATTAGATAGAGTTGTAAATTCTAATTAAATCGGCACCTGCGCAACATAAGAAGTGTCGTAAAACATTCTTTTCGCGACGAACAGAATACGATTTCCTCGCCTTAGGAGTTCGGTCATCGCGCGTAATCCATACCGATACCAAGTTACGTTTCATAGTGTCGTCACATACGTCATCCCTCGTGGGATCAGCTCCCGGAATTTCCTCAAAGAGCCGACTGCAATTCATGAGACGATTGATTGAATTCGTGCTCGTACTCATGCGCATTCCGTTCTTCTACTATGTGGGCAATTGCGTGGGATGTGCTTTCGTTAATTCAACCCTCTTTCATTCCAAGTTATTTTTATACTCGTTAAAATAGACCTCGTTCTATTCGTAAAAAACTAGTTAATTGTTATTAGTCATTTATTAGTTATTTATGTATTATTTACTCATCCAATTGTCTACTACTCAACTTTTATTTTTAAAATGCATGAGCTTTAAATAGAGATGCATTAATTTTTTAATTTGCTTGTTATTTTACTTTTTATTTTTAACATCCGTGATCATTGAGACAAATGGGGTTATTAATGTGCCGTGATACGCGTCACATTTATGCTACACATATCATGTATAAATTTGCTGTTTAGCAGTTGCTCTCTAATGGATAAATATTTTTAATGCTGATAAAAATAATATGAACTAGTCTATTATTTCATTTTTTATTGTTTTTAGCGCGCTAACTTTAATTTACATGTAAAAATAAGATAATAAACAAAGTAAGATAATAAAAATATTACTTATTATATAAAAAAATGCAAGCGTGATAAGCCTTCTAACTTGAGGAAGGATAACGGATAAAGGAGAAATTAACGAGGAGACAATAAAAATCTTCTTTACATTTCATTTTTTCATTCTGCAATAATTTACGTAAAACGACGAACAATTAATTTTATCGGAGCAATTTGCCCCTGTATACTCGCAGTTAATATTTTCCTAAGCGTTAACTGACTCCACGTGATAAGAAAATTTATCTCGCCGGACTCGTCTGCCTTTGCACTTACGTCTTTTTTCAGATAGAAGACTAAACGCTGTCATGCGCGCGATAAGGAAATTCATTTCACGCAAGTTGTCTACTTCGTACCGGCAAATCTTTTACCATAATACTCGCCCGTTCCGAGTTATGAATCGTAATGAGGCGATTCTTCGCGTCTCGCATGGTAGTCATTCGCGTGCGGAAAGACTCTCAATGAATACAAAAGTATGGAGACGAGGCTGGGCAAGAATGGTGAAAAATGTAGAAAATAGATAAAAATAGATAAAAGTCGATGTAAGTAAACGAAGCGTCCTTCGATTCCAGCGAGAAAACTCAGGAGAAATAAAAAAGGGAGGACTTACCTTGCGCTGTAGAACGTTGATCTTGCGATCTTTGATGTCCATGTGATCTTTCAGCTCGGTCAACTCGGTGTTTATGCGATTGCGCTCCTGTTGCGCCTGCATCGCCGCCTGTGTCTTCTTCTCGATCATCCGATTCTTCTCTTCGAGTCGCTGCCGCATCTCCTCGACCTGCGGGACACGCATACATTTTTAATCGGAATAATCGTGAGAAAGAATTCGATTGTTGAAAAGGTGAGTCGACTATGAAGGAAGGAATCTTCAGGCGAGTCCAATGCGGAATATTCAACGCGCAATACGTACGACGCATATTCACGCGACGTCGAAGATGAAAGAGGAGAGGAGAGGAGAGGAGAGGACAGGTGAGAAGAGAGAGAAGCTCGACCCAGTTTTCCGATTGGCCTTTCTCCGTTGACCTCACCCGGACGCGCGATTTGTCGCAGCTTTAACTCGACTCCCGACTTGTCGGACCGATTTGTCAAACAGCTGATCGAAATCACGTGTCGCCGATTACTTAATCCCTTCGAAAGTCTCTCTCCGGCTTAGGAAACAACAACAATATATTCTCTTCCTCCTCTTTAGAGTTTGTCTTGCGAGGTTAATCTAAAGAGGATTTTTCTTAGTGCTCGAAACGTAAAAAATAAAACGTAAAAATTGAGACAGAAACATATACGACTATTCGTAAGTTTTCCTCATTAAGTTTAATTTTTATAAAATTTGAATTAATATTCAAAAATCACAAAATATGAGACTAAAGTCTTTATGCTTAAAAAAATTAGTTTTTATTTTTTTTCGCGGTTTAAAGTACTTTGCAATCGCAAGGTTACATCTTGTAAAACATTAAAGATCAAGAATTCCTTTTGTAACTTGAAAATAGAGATAAGTTTGGGTTAGAACAAAGTTTGCAGTAAGTATTTTTCTCACATCGATGGCTATTTTAAAATTTATGAAGTCTACGTGAGTTGAGTGAGCATTTCCTTGTTCAAATTTGATTTCGAAGCTTCGTCCTAGTTTTGTTTAATGGGACTTTTTCAAAGAGAAAATTTTTCAGGTCTCTTTGCACGCGCTCTCTCTCTCTCTCTTTCTTTCGTTTCGGTTTTTACAAACCTTTAAAGATAAAAAGGCTAGTAGTAAAAACTGAAAAAATTAAATCAATAAATACAACTTTTTTTTTTTAAACAATGATTCTTTGTTTTTCGAATAATAATATTAGTTACCGTTGTCGTTCCCACATAACAGATCGTGCTTTTGTTGAACATCCAAATTTGGGAGATGCGGTTAGAAATTTGGTATCGATTTTAAGACTCGGTCGCGTTCCAGTTTCGGATCAACATAACAGAAAATAACAAAACTAGTGTAAACTTGTTTACCGAAAACATACTTGGCAACCTCCTGTTCTTGTAAATTTTTATGTATTTAAAAGCTTTTGAGGTTTTGAAAAATAATCTATTTATTGCAGAAGTTTCTATTCTTTAGCTTTTGATGGCAGCTGACAAATATGTGTTGAAAAATGACTAACGAGACAGTAAAAAGTTTATTTTCAAATTAAAATTCACAAAAATAAAATTTTAATTAAATCAATTAAAGAAATAATTTTGATACAATATATTTTTCTTCATATTTAAAGAAATGATTTTCTTTTATTATTATTAAAATATTTTAAAGTCTATTTTATAACTTTGCAATTTGCGAACAAATTGCAAGATTTATAAAAATATACATATAATTCTCGTTTTATAATAGAACAAAATAATCACAAAGGTACTCACATCGGCCTGTAGCATGTTATAATGCTCTTCCTTGGCGCAGAGAGATTCTTTGAGTACGGCGATGTGCCTCTGGTAGTCTTGGTGTTGCTCTTCAAGCGTCTTCATTTTCGCCGACATTGCCAGCAGCTCCTGGTCCCGTCGCTGTACCTCCGTCCGGAGCTCGTCCAGCTGCGAAAAGATTCGTCGTCCAGGAGAGGATCAGTCCCTGTGCTCCGTCCGTCTCGGCGACGACGACGACGACGACAACAGACGGCATTACGACGACGGCGACGAGCAACGGAGGCGTTGGGACTGCCTGCCGGCTCTCCGCCATAACCGAGTACGACGACGATAACAACAATTTTATAAAACATAAAATAAGATGTGCGAAAATACTTCTTTACGCGTAACGCCTGTTATCATGGCACGGTGAGCTCGTTTGAATGTAAAATTTTCAATCGTTAATGATGAAAAACTAGAAACTTTTAAAAATAAGAAATGGAAAACAAAAACTTAAAGATGTCAAATCAAAGATGTTAAGCTTCAAATTATTATATTAATTCCGACATTTGCTGTTAATTAAATTTATTTTCAATTTTTTAATTTTGTTAAACTCACATTCTAAGAATCTCGAAATTTTTCAATTTTTAGTTTAATAAAATAATATTTTGATATGTACAAATAATATATAAAAAATATATGTATATAAAAAATGTTTTTCTGTTTTTTGAGATCACTTCAGAATAATCTCAATAAAGAATATTTCCTTTTACATCCTTATATTATGTATATAATTAATTTTTAGAATCGATTTTTCTGCGTTGTAGCACATATCTCAAATTATTCCTGATCCAAATTATGCGCGAAATTGGTTTCCAAGCGAACAGCTTTGCGGGATGTAACCGGAATTACTTAATTGCCGTTGGACTTTGACACGAGCCACTGTTGAGAAAAACCGAGATTATTTTAATTAAAATTACGTTGACGTAACGCGGAAAGTTTGATCCTGCAAAAAGTTTCCATGTCAGAGATTAAAAATCAAATCGCATTGTCGCCCCGCTCCGATTCCACCGCTATTTTTAGGTCATTTATGTACCTTTCTCGATCTTTAGTCGATTTAACAAAAGAAACTAACGTTCGAGCTATTACGATCGCGTTCTAATTACAAAGTCAAACAAAAAGTTACGTGTGTTAGCCAGTTTCGGTCAAATTTAAATATAAAAGCCGATTCTTTAAACTCTGAACTCAAATTCGGATATCGATTAATGGATGCTTAAACGTTAAAACATTGTTCATTCTCGCATTTGTGCTAATAGTTAGCTAAAACTTCTATTTTTCTATCTACAAGGTGAAACTACAATATAAAGAGGAATGAAATTTTGTCATTAGTTGTGGCCGAGCAAAAGCCCCAATTATTATTTTTATTTATAATTGTTGAGAGACGAAAAAATAAAGAAAAAAAATATCGTCGTCGTACTCGGATGGGATTCGTACGAAGCATGCAGCGTAATCGAGGCCAACGTACAAAGTTACAAACAATGCTTTTGTAATACACACATATATAATTATATATTTATATACATATTGGATTATATATATATATATTGTATATAAATATATATGTGTGTGTGTGTGTATATGTGTTTGGTGTGTGTGTATTGTGTGTGTGTACAGCGAGATGTGATGGAGACATATGACATAGAAACTAATTTCGAAGATAGAGATTCAGGACTTGTCATGTAAATGTGTCTCTTTTATTATCGTGTACGTACCTACACACTCGTCTCATCTACTCTGGTGTTGTCTGCAGACCGCGTGAAGGAGCTCGTCGCGATATATCGGTGCGAGATATTGCGACGACCTCGAAGCACAATTGTAATATATATCTAACAGTCACTACTGACTAGTCACTACGTAAATAAATGCGATGCGAACGAGATCGTGATTCCACGAGGTTCTCCTTGATAATTTAATTGCAACATTTTGTAATTTCGGCTTAACAATCATCAATAAACGTTTGGTGACAAAAAATTGAAGTTTTATCTTAAAGAAATTAATATTAAACATTATAAACATCTTTATAACCTTTTCATTCAAAAATTTAATACTGTACTTCAAATTCGATATAACTATGTAAATTTTATTTTTTAGAAGTTTTTTATCCAGGAAATAATATATCTTCAAACTTTCAAGATATTTTACAATTTTAGTTAAATACCATTTGGAGTTCAACGTCACTTCGCGAAATGTCTAATAAGATAATTTTTTTTAGTTCGGGCAAGTTAGTAAAACGCGAAGTTAGTAAAACACTCTAGGTGCAAAAACGTGTCCTAATTAATTATATTTAATCTCGACGTAACAATGACAGAGGATCTCGGGCACGCGTCTCATACTACACGCAGTCAAAACGCCAGACAAAAAACGAGAAGATTATATTATCACATTTCTCAAACACAAGAATATTCAAGAAATCTGCGTCAAAATGCAGAAAAGAAATTTAACAAGTTAGCTCGTTTTTGTCGGTTTTCGATTTGATCGACAACAGCTATTACAGCATCTACAACGGCGGCAATATCGCCCCGCGTCGGTCTTCGAGATCATCGACGAAGCGATGAAGGGTGCGCACTCCGTCACTTCGACAATGATAACATCTCTAAAGTGATCATCTACGGTGTCACTAGGCCGCACACACACGCGCACATACACGCATTTCACGCACACGATCGAATGATGAGGGTAGAGGTGAACGAAAGTCCTTCATTCCTTTCGCTCTTCCGACCGACACGGGATAGATGATGCTTGATTGACGATGATGAATCTGGGAGAGTGACGGTCTTTCTCTAAGGAGCCACATCGAGACATTTTGTCTAAAAGACCGGTGTGTAGTTGCTTACGTGAGATGCGTGAAAATGATGATTGCGAGACAGTCGGTCAACAATTCACGCCGATAGTAAGACAGAGAAGGTTTGAGACAAAGACAGAGACAGAGACAGAGATAGAAAGAGAGATGTACAGAGTAACAAGTACAGTGACTACGGTATACATCGAAACACTCCGTTACGTAATACAGTAATCACGTAGATGGAAACGGAGGGGGGTGGGGGGGAGGACGGTTGATGGTGGCTCGGAAGAGCTTCTTGGGGGGCGGGTGAAGAATTTCCTTACCTCCTCAGAAAGCTAGAATATTGGGGCACCACGTTTAATAATGCTTCGCTCACCACAAAGGCCGCCCAATTCCACCGTCTCTCTTCCGAATGATGATGTCCGTCCGTTATGTCTTTGCATTTTAAGTGTACCGGAATGTCCGATTTAATTTTAACGACGTATTCTTCGACGAATACGGAGTCGATTTTTTATTCAAGAGAATTTTTAGGAAAATCCGTATATTTTTTGTCGCACCATTTTAACATTCATCGAATATCTCGATAATTCAATCAATAATTAAAATATTGAAAAAAGTTAAGGTTATTTGTATTTAAGTAAAAAGTTAGATTTTCTTACGTAACGCTAGATTTTGTTTTACGAAAAAATTTAATTAATATTGATGCCTTATTTTGATTAACAAAAGGAAAAAATCAGCTTCGAATTAGTCAACAAAACTGTCGTTAAAATTAAAAGTTTTAAGATCCGCGCAAAATAGTTGTAATTTGTATTTTACCGATTTTATTCTGATTTAATTGGAATGCCAATTTTGTTATTTTAGAAACATTGATGGCTGTAAGAAACTATTATTTAGAGTTACAATTTATCCGATTGTTGGAAGAGTTCTGCGGAATTGGGAGTTGCCATCCATTGCTGACTTATCGCTAGCTTAGCTCTATCTTAAGTACTAATTATACCTTAAGGTCTATCAGGCAAAAGGTAGCATTTGGTTTATCTACGAGTCGAGCTGCTGAATTCGTCATCATGCTCCTTCTTATTTCATGATAACAAGGATATTTCTCTCCATTATTAAATGCAGAGTAATGAGAAAATAGTCATCAACAACAAGGCCTATCTATGTTTATGCACACCAGACACGTAAATAACTAGATTAGACAAAATTGATATTCATTGATCAATCGAAACGACACTTTTTTACTTAATTCCAGATTATGGTGTAAAATTTTTTCATGTTTTCAACAACAGATCAACGTGATATAATTTGCCTAGCGCGTAAATACTTGACGATAGGCCTTGAAAACATTGCACAATTCATAAATCAGAAGGGAAAAGCTGCAGATATCTGAGAAACATGTTTAACTTTTTTCTGGTCGAAGAAACTTTTCTGACGAAACGACAAGACTCGCAGACAAACTAAATTGACCTCTGCGTCTCTGATGGACGGGCCGAATTAATGGGCTCTCCCGACAGGTAATCCGACGTCCGTGGACCTTCGTAGACGATGATCGTCATCTCGACGTCCACGCATGTCTTACGCGCGCTTCTTACGCGTGCGTCTTATTCGCCAAACGGGACGGCGGAGCTACATGATAGATGCACTTTCTGCGCGCGCGTGCAGCATGCATAACAGCACCTCAAGAGTGAGGACGGCGATGGGTCGAAGGAGGTTGATAACGAGGCCATGCGTCTCTAATTACGACATCAAGGTCTTCTACGGACGGGGAAGAAAGGAAGATAAATGAGACAGCGTAAAAGAGGGTTACGAAACGATGAAGGTGGGCTTTTATATACTTGCCGATGAGCGATACTTGCGAGCGATTCGCGTAGCGAAACGCGCGATCGTTCCGTGAATATTCGCGTCACAGAGCTTTGCGCAGATCTCGCGCGACCACCTTCGATACTCGCGCAATCGACGATGATCCTTAACGATCGAAATGATCACAACACCGCAAGCAAATAGATGAAGAGGGAATCTCGACGACGCGATCTCGCCGGGAGAGCTTAGACGTTCGATAAAAGCGATGCTGGATGAGCGAGCTTGCGATCATTTCTCGCGATCAGTCCTTTCGTACAATCGTACAATAAAGCAAAATAAATTGATTGTGATTGGTTTTTAGTTAATAAGACTTTAATAATATACTGTTAAAACATTTCAGTAATACATAACTATAGAAATTTTAATAATAATTTACAATCAAGATGAATCGAGAAAATTAATTTGTGATTTGATTGACGAAAGGAGTCTCGACGAGCAGCTCGCCAAGTATTGATGATAGAGATGATGACGATGACGATATGAACAATAATGAGTGGCTGTTGCGATGACGTACACTACAACCACGTAAACTCCTAACGACGCATGCAACATGCTAAACCTAAATTTCCATGCGAATTGCACGACTCGAAGAGATAATGATAATGATCATCATGAAAACTATTGATCGATCTATTTCGTGCGATGATTCGCGTATGTTTTCCACGCGTCCTACAATTGCGAAAAGATGAGCACCAACCCGATCATTAGAGAGAATGATTCCGTGACGACTCGAAGATCAACAATCTCAATCTAATGATAGATCTAGCAATCTAGTGATACAAAGCTAATGAAATTATCGATGAATCATGTAATGTTGGCGTAAAACAAATCGATTACTATAAACGAAGATTATAGCTGATTCTCAGTTTCTTTTATGATACGAAGATGACGAGATGAGGCACAGAATATATGGAATGCGTGGCGCAATGATTTTGGCACTTAATTGATCATTTTTATGTCGCATGGCAAGTATCGATGCATGTGGACCGGTGCGTCCTTTTATCATAAATGGAAAATTCATATACAGAAAATTCCGTTGAAAGAGGAAAGTTACAGGAAAGAAAGGACGTAAAGAATACCTACGAATGATGTGAGCTGTGAAAAAGCATGAGAAATGTAATTTCTTTTTTTTCTTTCTTTCTCTTATTTTGCGATTTTATGATTGTTATGATATGATATCTTAATATAAAAAATAATAATTATGTTCTTGTGTGTAATTATTGTTGTACTCCAGATTGGTTGAAAAAATTGAAAATAATGTAAATGTCTGATATTTTGTTTTCGAATATCCAACAACTTCATTAACGATGATTTGATTGCTTGGATGATATCGTTAAAATTATCACAAAAAATATAATTCTCGACGAAAGTGGTTTACCAATATTCGACTCGTATGCTGGGATTTTTGCGTTTGGAATGCAAAATACAGTCGCCTCATCTGCGAGTAGTCGACCTGCGCAAACAAATTCACATCCACCATTTAACTTTTTTACGAATTTATTTTCAATTTCTTTGCCCGAGGCGAATATAAGGCAAGAAAATGTTCGCAAAGCCTTTGCCAAAGCAATCAATTTCTAAACTGTAATTTTGGGATGTCACACTGCTAACAATAGATTGGTTCTTATTTAGGATACAAATCACGTAATTTCGTTTAAATTTATTATATATTTTAAAGTAAATTTAAAATATATTTGATAATCTAGAAACAAACATATTTAAATATATAATGCAAATTTTTCTTAGAAAAAAAATACGGTTGCTGCAAGAGGGTTAAATGTAATCGAATTGTTTTTTTGTAAATTTTGACTAAACTGCTGTTGTTGCAAGAGAGTTAAATATAATACCAATCGTATTATTTTTTGTGAAGTTTAAATGAAATCAGTCTGGAATGAAACGAGCTGCGATGGATGGGTCGTTGCGATGTGTGGCTAAAAAACAAAAAAAAACAAAAAAATCAATCTTGTTTCTCCTTTATGCGAGATCCAGAGTCCTTGTAGTATCCACCAGGGTCTTGAGTCTGCTAGGATCTTAAGGAGGATCAGCTCCGCGGTATCGCGGGAAATTAGCGGAAAACGTAAGGTTGGCAACGCGCGAAAACACAAACTCGCCTCCTTTCGTTTTTTTTCTTCATCACAATTATTATTATCAGCATCATCAGCATAGTTATGTAACAGTTTTATCATTAATATAGTGTCGGTCTCATTATCGCGAGAGTATCTCTCGCTTGTCTCCCGCTCGGGAGATGCATAGTCAGATGAGGATCGTTTTTGTTTAAGCTCTAAATATGAAGCTGACCTTGCGAGCGTGTGAAATCGTCGTCGTCCACGAGACAGCGTTTGTCTTTCGCACAAATGAGATCGTTGGGAACGTCGCCAAGGGAATGTCCGGATTGTCGGGATGGAGGACTCGGTCTCCTTCGAGACCATCATCCCGAATCCCGGTTGTGTCGTAGTTTCATCCTTGAGACGGAATAATAGAGGGAAAGGGTGTATTTTAGAGAGAGGGGGGAGGTGCCAATGGGCGAAAAGGGGTTGATGATAAAGAGCGGATCAGTTAAAGTATACCCGGATTGATCACTGCAGTTGATCGTTGCAGTTCGAATTCGATTAATCGCGTTAATTAGTCGAGCACAGGTGTTCTCGTTCCCGCACAAGTGCGGATGTCGATCGTCGGATCTTTGCGTTACAATCCAACGACGTAATGTCTTACGCTCTAGAGTATACAGTAGAAAAATAAGGATTGTCACAACCTTGGAACACACGCGTGCGCAGCCTTGGCTGCCCGCCTCGGGCAAGCGAAAAGATCACTAGGAGCATTTTGAGTGTGATATGTTTGGAACAAAATGAGAACATCGAGAACTATCTGCACTAGAAATTCATCTCGATTGATGCGTTTGCGTTATAGCTGGGTATAGCTTGTACACATTGAGCTACCCACATGTGGCGAGTGGAGAAAGGTTGGTGAGGAAAAGGGGTGCAGGGTTAAATCGCTGTGAGCTACGAAAATATACCGGTGAAAGCTTCAAATATACTTTTTTTTCTTTCCTTACCTACACACGCATCGTACACGCACACGCATCTTCACATTATATTCGTATATGCATATATATATTTTTTTTTCCATAGACGTATGTGTATATATATGTGTATATATATATATATATATATATATATATATATATATATATATATGTAGATTTTATATATCTTTCTGCGTCATTTGAGTAATTTTTCTCTCCGGCAATCTCTCTTTTCATCATCTTCGATTTCTCGTCGCGCAACCGCAAACAACATTAACATTCATATAATATACATTTCAGGATTCAACAGTGTCCTCGTACAATAGAAGCTATCGAAATATATATGACTGTCTTGTTGACTTTCTCTTTGCGGGATCACATCTGAAATCCTCGCACCAAATCTTCCTCTTGTTTCCCCGCCTTTTCGACGACGCTTCCAGTACAATACTGGCATCCAGCGGATATATTCTTGGATATCTAAAATAATTAGTTCTCCGAATATTTGGATATACAAGAAATGTCCAAGATATTCGTTGGATTCATCGAAAAAACTTCGCGATCCGTTTTATCCAATGGATATTCTTGAACATTTATGAATATCTAAATATTTTGTAATATCCAGATTTTCAAACATTTATTATAATGCGATTGTTATCTGCTATTGAACAAAAAATTTTATACCAACATTATTTAAAATACTTTATATACCATCAAACATACGCTGCTTACGTAAAAAAAAATTCGGAGCATTTAGTAAAAATTAATATTATGCAAAATAAATTAAATACATTTGTAATATCTTTGAGTGTGTGTTATTTTTCGAGATTAAAACTTTTCAAAGAATAACGTGAGCAAAGACTAATGTTGTTTCAATGTTACTTTAGTAAAAAACATTAAAAATGCCAACAAAAAAATATCTGGATATTGCCTGACATCTTAGTATTCGAGAGCATTCATTGGATGTCTGACTACATTGGTCCTACTCCACTTAATCCACAAATTGTAACGCGGAAGTGTGCAGCTTGCCCACTGCTTCCTCTTTTGCCCTCTGAAAAGCCATTACTGGAAGTTAACGGAAGATCAAAGATCGTTCGAAGGCTTATCACGCGTAAACACACACAAAAGGATTCTTCGAGCGATGTATGAATGTCTGTGTACGTCAGGGTGCAGTCTAGGAATTCCTCGCGTTGGAAATGATCGCGTGTACGCGGACGAAACAAAGCTCGCGGCAATGGAAACCTCAGACATTACACGCACGTTTATCGGATTGCTGTTTCATCAGCAAAGCTATTTGACCGTTTTCAGCGAATTACTGGTGTTTAGTTTCAACGTTCTGCAATTTACATTAAACGAAATTGTAAATTTGTTGTAAAAAATCTACATAAATATTGTGCGTTTATTGATAGATATGTTGAATTGAGCTCTATTGGTTTGTGAAAGTTTGGAAACTGTGATTTAAAAACTTGTAAAATACGAAATTTTATATAATATTAAGTAACGTATTTATGTGAATTTGATTTCAGGATTTCTATATTATATTTCACATTTTAGCTCTATCTTTTTCTCTAGAAATAAATCTGGAAATAAATACGACAGTTTCTATTACTACTGTTAAAATTACAATTGTTTCATTCCTATCGAGATACTGTTTCCCCGATAAATGCGCGCGCATTTTCATCGCGAGATGTTCCGCTCAATGTCCTGCATTCACACATAGCTATCATCTATCTCATCATCTTGTAAACCTATGACGTCTAACAATAAGAACAATTGAGTCAAAAAATAGAGAACTCTGCGTTTTGGAATGTCGCGTGACGAGAAAAAGATATCGAGAGGTAAAGAAAACAGGTACGCGTTAAAATGTTATCACACGTCTTGACGAGAGTCGGTGAGAAGTAAAACAACGTCCGTTCCGAGGGTCGACACCTACACTGAATATACTTACTGGTGACATTATTTACGTTAATTCTAATCCGCGCTAAAGCTCGTCTAGGAAGGAAGACGGGAAAGTTAGCGAGATAACGCATAATCGGGGAGGAATAATTTACGCTCGGTATCAACGCTAGGCCGATCGCTCGCGACGAAACATTTTCGCTCACCTCCAGATAACAACTTGCACGTGTCAACTCGCTCGTGTCGAGCGGAACGCAATTTGCAAAGTTCGAATCCGAAGTTCGCAAGTTTATTCGTTTAAATTAACATACACTAGACGTCTTTTGAGTTTGCGCACTCGAGAGCGACGTGTACTAGCGAGCGGCACTACTTTATTTATGGAACACATTCGTGCGATAGAATCTACCTAAATGATGTCTATTTACGGCTAAAGATTCTATTTACGACTAAAAGTTTGCGCGTCACCGTTTCACCTTCTACAATTCAGCTACTATATGTAAGTATTCGGCTTAGTACTGTATTCGGCTTAATGCTATTAATTAGATTTTGAAAATAACATAACTTGTTCTGTTATTATCAATTTCACAAAAGACGTTTCCATCGCTTATTACATCGCTGTGCATAATCCTGATCCTCAATATTTTCTTTTACTTTTTTTTTGAACAAAATTTAATTTTTCTTCTTATTTTTCGTCCCATACGATAATTCGCACAAATATAATTTGTAAATTTATAAAAATTTATAAGGAAAAGCCAAGAAAAAAGTGTTAGTACCAAATATTTATTTTTGAAGATTTTGCTTGAAATTGAGATAATTAGTTTTAATAATAGAACTTTTTCGTAAAACTGTAATATTTAGTACATTTAATGAAAGACACATCTGGGTTTCAAGTTGCCATAAATAGTCACAGTGCTTTTAAATATTTTGATACATAAATTTAAGCGGCCCATTTCATTCCTGAAATATGCAAATGTATAGAATATCGAATAAGCCATTTGCCAAAGATTCGATTACCTCAAAGTTTTGTTCAAATAATTGTTGTAAAAATGTCAACCAATATTTGGATACCAAAAGAACAAAGAATACGTAAAAAAATTCATAATAGTACAAACATTAAAAATTTAATTTTACAAAATGCAGCTTCTAATGTAGGATGTTGTGACGCGAAGTCCGAGATTAATCATTTTTATCGACCGCGTTGTTGTTTTAGTTCTCACGGACTTTCGCTTCATACGTGCGCAATATGCGACGTTTTTAAAGAAGAAGATGAAGAGAATCGAAGGATCCTCGCGCGCGAAAGTCGCCATCTCGACGACCTGCTCTTGTGATCATCGTCGGCGCTATCTCTCTTCGACTTTCTTTCCCCTCAACAGAGAAGTCATCCTACGTACGCCTATGTACGCCCTTCTCTTCGACCTTCTGTCACCTCGATCGCCTCTTCGCAGTGATCTAGTCTCTCTTCCCCGAAGATACTTATTTTCCTTTCATTTGGATGGTCGCCCTCGACGAAAAACAGCAGATCTCTCTCTGTTACTCATTTTTTTCTTTTTCTGAATCGACCTCATCAACCCGGTTCCTCATCTTTGATTTCGATGGCTCTCGAAACTAGCCGACGAGGACTATGATGACGAAGACGACGATGACGACGACGATGACGATGACGACGACGATGACGACGACGACGACGACGACGACGACGACGACGACGACGACGACGACGACGACGACGACGACGACGACGACGACGACGACGACGACGAAGACGACGAGGACGACGAGGACGATGACGACGACGACGACGACGACGACAATGAAGACAATGATGACAAAGACGACGAAAACGACGAAGACGACGACATGATCGTGATCCCCGTGTACCTGAGATCAAAGAAGGAACTCTCGACCTCCCGCGTCGTCCCAGATGTCGGCCTAGACGGCGTCGTTCTTTTCGATGCGCACATTGTTGATGAAGAAACTTACTTGCCGTTTGAAGTTCAAGTCGTGCTTGTTGAAGGTGTGTGCGTGAAGCGCGAGGGCGCCCGCCGCCGCCGGTTCTATTTGTTTCAAGTGTTGCTGCATTTGTTGCTGCTGCTGCAGCTGATGTTGGAGGTGGTGATGATGGTGATGCTGGTGATGGTGCAGCTGATGCGGATGATGATCGGTAGCGTAGCGATCAGCGTAGGGGTTGACCACGCCCGTGGTCGCGCCCGACGAGATGCCGGCCAGGCATGAGGAACCACCACCGATGCCCAGACCGCCGCCGCTCCCGGTTGCACCTGTCGAACCGGTAAGTAACGAACTGGTTAGTGCCGCGGACGACGCGTGGCCACCGTACGGTACCAGCGAGGTCATCATGGACGGTCCCCTGGTCAGGGGCAACGTGCCGGGCTGTTGCTGACCACCCAGGCCGGTCAACTGCGTGCCGATACCCAGTTGTTGCTGATGCTGTTGTTGCTGCGCGCTACCGTCGGCAGCTGGCACAGCGATGGCTTTCAGCAGCTGCTCCCGCAGCCTGCCGCCGCACACCTTAATACGCTGCAACTCGGCCTCCAGCAGTGCCACCTCCTTTTCCAAGGTGGTTATGCGCGCGTCTTTCGTCTCCATGATGGCGGTCAGGGTGGTGCTACCGGGCACGCCGCCTGGAACCGCCACGCTACCTCCGAGGACGGTACCGCCGCCTGCACCTGCACCCCCCGATACGCTACCTAGCCCCATGATGTTGGCCGCTACGCCCGTCAATCCCATGCCGCTGCCGCCGCCAGCCACCGGCTGTCCCGAGGACGCGGTCGAGGCGTACGCGAGCTCCAGCTGTGTCTGCAGACTCTTCAAACTCTCGTTCGTCGCTTTGAGCTCCTGATACAACAGAAGCAACAAACGGGGAAGACGGTTACAGGTCGTCGTTGACTCTTTCTCGCGCACGCTGTTTTTCTCTGTCGTGTCTTTCTAGCGCGCGATCTATTTTTTACTTGTTTGTTTGATGATGTAGTTGAGATGTTATTTGATTTCTTTGATTTTTTTTTTATATTCTTGGGTGTGAAGTATGCGGTGGTGCGATTCGGAGATGTGACTACGGTGGATGGTTGGGTGCGGCTTCGCTAACACATGAGACTGCCCTCGTGTTTGTCGTCTCTTTGTCGAGATAGTTTTGTTTGCTGGCTGCGATGCCATCAACTGCCGTGCATTTGAAGATTTATTTATTCAAATATGCCAAGTTGTTCGAAAAAAGAGGTTTGTTATATAAAATATAAAAAAAAATTTATAGAGACAACAATATAAAGTTTCACTTTTTTATCAAAATTTAGCAAAAACGTTAAAAAAATACTATAGTCGAGTCAAATTTGGACTAAAAAATATCGTAACATAAAAATAATAAATAAAAATATCTAGTTCATCTCGTTTCATATGTACATTCGTAAAATGTTGAAAAAATAGCGAGAAAATGCTTGTTGAAATTTTTGCGGTAATTTTCTACTTTTATATATAAATTAATGGTATGTTTTCCATTTTTCTACAAATAAATATTGAAATTTGAAAATATAATATATTTCTCTTTATCACACATCACAGTGAATGGCACACACGACTGCGCAATATTTATTCTTGGATCTCTCCGTTCACGGGACAGTCTCGAGGAAGCGGAAGTGGCACCGGCAGCGTCCCGGTTGACGAAAGAAAAGCGACGTATCGCCGAGCTTCCTTCTTCCAAAACGCTCTTCCTCGTTTTCTTCTTTAAGCGACACAAAAGCGTTTCTTATCACTTCAAAAAAAATTGTAATCGAAAAATCAATCGATTCTCGTCGATGAAATAGCGAGAATCTCCCCATCCACGTGTCTCAACATTTGTTCTTCTCAGGATCAGATCTTTATCCGACTCCTGATTTGTTTTTTCTCTCTGATTTTTCTATTCTGTGATTCAATTGGCGTCGTATCAATCACTGACGGCGATTGACAATCGTCAATCGACAACGTTCAATCTTTTTGACGATCTCACAGTCGCAAGGTCACGCTCTAACATTCCAATATATTTGCTTGACATTCTTTCGTTTATACGTTTTTTTTTCCACAATGATCCTCTTCCGGACGCCGGGCGCCGCCGCAGTTCTTTCGCCCACCGCGACGTACGGCCGACATCGTTGTCCATTTTTCTGCGCGCGGCGTTTCGATGATTTCTCATCGCACTATATTAACGCTCTTTCATCTTTTACGGTTTCTTTTTTCCGGTTTCTTTTCCCGTCTCGATCATCTAATACTCGTCGGAGGACGAATTCAGAAATGCGCGAGAATCCATCATTCGATCAAAATATGGATTCGAGATTTTATAATGATTGCTAGATCGAAACGCGGCCACGTCGCATGGACAAGATCTCTTTTGGATGAGCGTGTGGATGCGTATCGACGTTCCGCGATCAGTGATGAGTAAAGGGGACTTGAGCCTTATCGGCTCGATGAAAAAATAGCATCGACCAATGAGCCGGTGAGATAGCGTTCACTGTTCATCGCTTGCGAGCTAAGCGATCACACGCGGATACGCATCTTGATGAGTTCATGTATGACGAGTCGTGGGAATGCAAACAAACCGACACATTGTCACATTAATACGTTTCCATGAATAAACATTAATACAATAGAACGTAACAGACAATTTGTAGCCGCAGGTAAATAACACAAAAAGTTGTATTATTTTCATATTTAAAAAATTTTTTAGAAATTTAAAATGTAGAATAAAAATTATAAATATAAAAAGATTACATAGCTAAAAATTTTCTCAAGATATCTTTATAAAATCTTTTTTCGGTGTTAAGTAGAATCACATCGGTTTGCCGGTATTCCCATCGGCGAGATCCGAATGGTGTTATGGTAGAGAGGATAAGACAGTAAGATTACGCGAGGAGAACGACGTCGTATTATCGCGTCTCGCATCAGGTCGGTGCCAAACAGTCGCAAAGTCCTCCCTTGGGCCTGGGATCGGCTCGGCTTGACGCGACTTGACGACTTTCGGACCGCCCCGCTGCTTGTGCATCGATAACGACGATTGGCGATGATAGCGGTAAGTCGTGATGGGCAAGAACGTGTCTGAGGCGTACAAGAACGAGAAGAGAGAGTATATATATATATATATATATATATATAATTGGGCGTTACATTCAGTGAATATCACAGCCAAGATGATGGCAGAAACAAATATAAGAAATGTGTATGGATGTACGTGTGTAGTAGTGGGCGATTTATACATACATACATACAGCGGAAAATCGCGCTCGTTGCGTACGTATGTATAACGAGAAAATGGTGCATATATATATACATATAAAAGATTCGGGACATTCCATATGTATAAGATATACACGTGAGGGATGAGGATGTGTACAGTATATATAGGGGTATTATGTGATATATCGTATATATATATATATAAAGATAAAAAAAATATATATATATACAGATATCTATATGTATAATATCGAGGAAAGAGAAGAGTGAGTATAATATATAGATATGAAAGTTGTTCTCTTACGGGGCGAACCAAAAGTCTCGCACAGCCTGACGTCGATTCTTTCGTGGTATGTCCTGTCCATCCTCCTGATCCAAAACTCGGCCGAATGTCGTTTGGAATACGAATGTTGTCGTTGATCACTTTTTTCTTTTTTTTCTCTCGCAAATGTATACGAGAGCATTTTTTTATGTCTTTTCTCCACTATTCGGGATACTTTGCGTTTTCAGATTGATCGCGCGATGTTGTGAAAAGTAAGCTCTAACACCGTGACGCACATTCGAATTTCATTGTCTGAGAGCGACTGTCGTAAATAAGACTCTTTGCTGGATTTTCACTCACTTTCAGTGAGTGTCCTCTTGAGAATTTTATTCTCCAACGACATCTCTCGACAGTAAATCTCTCAAGTGTAGAGAAGATCGAGTTTAATTGATTACATTAGAAAATTTATTGGCACACTACTTACGTAAATCAAAGAAAGCTATTTTTAGAATAAATATTAGCAATTTGATTTGAATAAAATTAATTAATAAAGTTATCAGATTATTTTTTATTAAAAATCCAACAATTATTGACAAGATAATTGTCATCAAACTATCCGTATAATTATTATTATTAAATGACTTATTGAATTAAAATGCCGGTTATTATCAGATTAGATCATGTATTCAATGATTATAGAAATTAATAATGCAACGGTCAACAACAACGCATACACTAATTTTATCGCACAGGGTTGGAGGTTCATAATATGATAAGCGCTTATGTAATAGATGCATATTCATCATAAAAGTTGGACATAAGTTAATTGCAATGATATTTAAACAAATTTTTTGACCATCTTGATATTATGAATCATCAAATAATTAAGTATTGATTTCAAAAGAGTTTATCATTTGCAAATCGATTAAGTGGTCTTGATGTAGAAAAATTATGAATTGGAATATTAATATTATTTAATTTGATTTTATAATTTAATTTATGACCATCAATTTATTTTAAGTTTATGTGTCTTATTTTATCTAATTGCAATTAATAAATAATTCAGAAATTCTTCTAGATATAAATATGTAATAAAAATGATTAGTAGTGTGTCAATTTAAGCGTGTACCAATCAGATCGCATCTTCTCTACATTTATCCTAACCTAACATGTTTGTATCGCGCAGCGTTCGCGTGCATGTTTAATGTATTAACGATGAATTAGCGTGTGCCACTGGTCGAGAGCCACTGTACGACGCGTACATTGATATCCACACAGCACAGAGATGTAGTACACGAAATGAATAAAATGGACGAGACGAGAATTTTAGGCGAAAACAGAATTTCAGATGAAGATGGTAAATGTGCATTAATTTTAATGCGCAAGAAGGAAAAGGAATAGTTGCATTATATTTTTGTTTTAACCAGGCACTCAGACCGATATGGTATTTCGGTTCGGTTTATGGTCCAATAAAATATTTAATAACTGTTCCGGTTCCAGTTACGGTTTTATAGTTGATTAAAAAAAACCGGAACTCTTTAAATAACGATTTTTTCAGTTCCGATTATGATTTTCCTAAAATTTTTTTCAACACAATCAATTTAAATTAAAATTAATATTTAAGAAAGATATTTGAGTTAAACATTTTATACACACACATTATAAATCAAAAACAAAAATTTAAGAAAACATAATTTTTTAAGAATAATTTTTTATTTCACGTTATAAGACATTATATTGTATCGCAAACATTTGATACACATATAAAAAATAACTTATTACATTTTAACATTATAATTGTATATTTATACATTTGAAGATATTTTAACATAAGTTATGTTTACATGTTTTAACATAAATGTAATTTTTTTTTTAATTGAAAGATTTTTTTAGAAATATTGAACGTAAAACTTAATTAAAAAATTGTTTGTAGTATTTAAATCTGTTATTTAAATAAATATTTAAGTAAATTTAAGTAAAATCTGTTTTATAATAATTTTTCTATAATTTTATAAAAAAAACAAAATTTACAGTTTTATTTTACCAAAATAATATTTTGCGAGAAAAATGGGAGTAAAAGCTTCATTAATACTCATTTTTTATTTGTGTTTTATATCCACTGCATGTGCAATAGTTTAAGCAAGACTTAAGCAGTAAGTAAATTAATCATCGTCGAATTTTCTCAAGAATGCATGACTGTAATTAGTCAATTTATTTACTGCCGAAGTTTTATTATTTACGTTTTTTATGTGCTATGGCCCTTATCGCATGAATGTATTGCAAAAGCCACTATAAACCGTAAAAAAGAAAGAAGGACGATATAAACAAATAAAAAATTTAACATGTAGAAGTAATAAAGTAAGTAGTAGGAATTAAAAAAAAGTACCGAAAAAACCATAAAAATTGAAAATAATTTTACTGATCCAGTTCCGGTTTTAATATTATAAACTTTATGAAATTTCGGTTCGGTTCCAGTTTCATTTTGACCAAAACAAACAGAATGATTATTAGTTCCGATTCCAATCCAGTCCAAGTCTCTGGTTTTAACATTTAACTTGACTTCTAATTCAATGCGTAAAAGCGCATAATTCACGGCAGACGAATACTAGCGGCACGATGATGTGACTTTATTTTGGTGAAATAATTTCAGCAACACTCTTGAGCACGCAATGCATTTTTGTGTTTCAATCTTGCAAATAGATATAGAAATATAAATAATAAGTAAAAACACTTCTATATCAAATTAATACATTTCTAAAGAAAGAACATTCAATACCTAAGAGATTTTTAAATTTGGAGGTTTTTTAATTGTTGAAAGATTTCCTAACTTTGCAAAATATTTAATGCATTCTCGAGAAAATATATAAATTTTTTGGTTATTAATTGTATAGAATTCTACAATTACAAATTGAAATTTAACAACACCATGTATCTGTTTCTTTCATCTGTCCACAAAATTTTTACATCGAGTGATACAATTAGTTTTAATCTTCACAAGTCAGATTTCGCGAAAGGGTTTTATGCATACAGTGACTCTCCCGAAGGCAAACTTCTTACACAATTCTATCAGATACATGCCTGATTATACGAATATATTCTGAGATTATCTACAAAATATTTTATATTACTATTCATAATGATTAAAAAACAAATAAATGTATTTTGCCTAAGAAAAGAAAAACGTCGAAAAACGATCCGCTCGTTAACGCGTAAGTTTCAAAAAGTTGGCTGTTCTCCTACACTTATGTTAGACCGGATCCAATTAGCATTAACGTGTATAATTAGTGTACCTGTTGGATCCTCCGTGATGGGGCCTGGTAGAGGAGAAAGTCACGTAGGTGTCGCCGATTCCTAATTTCGAACTGTGTAGTGGTGTTGTTCTTGTAGTACTTGTTGTTGTGTAGTCGATGATGGTGACGATGGTGATGGCTGATCATGTGACGGTGATAGTAATTGTATTTGTGGTTAGACGAGTGTGAAAGTGATGTGATGGGCGGATATACGGGCGTGACATTTTCCCCGCGAGAATAGGGGGAGGATGGCTAACGTATCTTATCGCCTACACATCCAAAGCAGCTCATTCCACGCATTCCAATCGCAACTGTTACTTTTGATTTCCCTTTTCCGAATTTCATCGCGACGTTCGTTCGTTCGTTCGTTCGTTCGTTCGTTCGTTCCCTGCGATTGATCATTTCTGTTTTCTTGTCTTATCCGATTATGCTAGATGATAGCGGGACGATTCGTCCGATGACTCGCTGATTCAGTGACTTATCGTGTAATTGAATGATACATCTCACATCTCCGATCTATTGAATTAGGCTAATGGGACAAATCACGTAATTTAGCTTTGTTGCACTCCACGAATCCAAGTTCTCTTTCAGTACGTTCTTTACAGAAAGTGTATACGTCGGTTTCTGATATACAAGCTAATTATGAGAAAAATTATTCTATTTTGTTGAGGTCATCGAATAAAGTGATCGTGGACGAATCGTTCTCGAATTATTTGACATGTAAGGTGCAAAAAAAAAGGCAGAGGAGAACATATCGGGCTAACGCTTTGAAGGAAATATGGGGATTATACGTGTTCTTATTTTTGTTAAAATAGTTGCTCATTGCATGCTTTTCATGATGTCTTATTTCAATATTGGCAATTAATTACCTGCTTCTTTTCGCATTAAAAAGAAATAATTTGGAAAATAGCCAAATGTATATTTGGGGATATAAGAAATCTTGTCATTATTTTTTCATAATTATATCAATTATGTAAAGCAAATTAACATGTAACATAACAATTGCAAAAATTAATCTCTTAATATAATTAGTAACTTCAAACATGTGTTCCAAACTTATATATTAGGTGTGTAAATTAATTCGGTGCCTTTAGATTTACTCATTGCTAGTAATCATCTTGAAGTTATATATTTTCCTATCTTGTGTAATGTGGTTTGAAAAGACTGTCAATTATGTTCACTAAACGCCAGTTGTACAGCAAAATAAGCTACACAATCTGAAAAATTAACAGTAAATACAATGGTCACGCATAAAGCGCATATTAGACACTGTATTTTTTTACCTTTCTATTAAAAAAAAAAAAGTGTTGCTAAAGTCGCCGATATAATTTGTACGGTTTTTGGAGAAGGTGCTGTGTTCCATAAAAATATGCGAGAAGTGGTATCAAAGATTTTGTGATGAAAATTAAAATTTAAATGATGAATGTTCCGATAAATAAAAAAAAATTTGAAGATAAAAAATTGCAGTTGCTACTCGATCAAGACTTCGCAAAAACTCAAAAAGAACTTGAATGAGTAGCTAGAAATGATCCGTGAAATCATTTCCTTTTCAAATTTTTAATTTCGCAAAGAAAGACACATAATTAATTTACACATGTAATACTTTAATTACTTGAATAATTTCTTTCTTTTCCCTAGCTCGAGAAATTAATTCTTTTAGTGCTTGAATTATATTTTATACGCATCACTTCCGAGATTTTTCCACTCGAATTACAGGAATTAATTACGTGCGACGAGATTGCAGCTATTAATTGCAGCGCGCGCACGCCTGTCGCGTCAGAATCGGGTTATGCCCAGAGAAATTTGCAATGAAAAGAGAGGAAATTAGACGGAGTAGTTTCCTCTCGAATGTGTCCCGTTTCCTGGAGCTAATCGGTACGTCTTCTGCACGCGCCCTAATTCATCACACGGGAATTTAGAATATTCTTATTCAAGACAATAACGTTCAATGCGAATTTCACACATCAGAAGCAGATAATTACGAGGTTGAAGCAAGAGAAACCGCTGTAATTTCAGATAGTGCGATTTTTGATGCTGCAGACACAAAAAAGTACACCTATTGTCGCGTTTCCATCATCGTAAAAAAATGACGTATCTCCAGCATCAAATTCTGAACTCGCCGAAATTACGTCGACATTAATTCCTGTATAAAACACGACGAGTTTGTCGAAGGATTTTGAAAGATCAATTGGAGATTTGGACTAAGGTACACTGGTGGTAATACAATACAATGCTCGTGCTGCTAAATTGTCGACACAACAAACAACGAAAGAGGCCTTGGTGCTGGTGCAGCTGATCGTTCAAGAGTTTGTTTTCAAGATCGCAAAATATTTTTATTTTAAGAGGAGATGTGGATGGGCAGGGCAAGAGTAAGGTTTAACATTGTGCGACAATATTTCGATAGTAGAATGAGAGAAAGAAAGAACGAGGAGGTAGTGAAGATTTCTCGTGCTATTGGTACATAATGTTAACGTGTGCTTGGTCCGTCAAATTCGTGCTCAAAGTTGAACTCGGATAAGTACAACGGATCTGCCAATTTTTCCTTCTGTCAAATTGCACCTGGCTTCGAGTGTTACTCAAGCTACATAGGCTTCGTCTAAGTCCTAAATCTAACAGGCATGAATACGAGTGCAAGGAGACCGAGCGAAAAAGCAAATGCAATGTTGTTTGTAAAAAAAAAAGAAAAACATTAATTGTAATAATTTATTTCCGCTCGAGGGCGGATTAATTTGTACCAATTAATTTTTTATCTTTCCTCTGTTTTATAATAATTTTATTTAAATATAATAAGATATTAATTTATTTTTCAGTAATTTGCACTCGAGGCAATTTTACAATTTATAAATACAAAATTTTTTTTTTAATTCCAAATTTTATTTGCCAATGTTTTAAATATTTTCTTAGAGTATAGAGTATAGAATTTTAGAAAAATTGCACATAGAAAATATAAAGTTTCGTAAGAAAATACGTGGAAACTCTGGAAAAGCCACATACACAAAAGAAAACCACACTAAATGTAGCACGTCGCGAAAGTAGGTCAAAAAGCATGGAAAGAGTGAGCGCGACGGCTAGAACGTGCGAGATTATAATGGCTTTTCCGAGCGACTTCACATCCGTGTACCGAGAGCAGATTATAAACGAAGGGAGGTGCTATAAACGTGAGAACGTATCTCGGGAATAATACGGCTACTACGTCTGCTCTAAAGACCATCTAACACGAATTGTGTAGGGACAGAGCAGACATGACGATGCTGGTGACGATGGTGGCAGTGCTCAGGTGCTCAAGAACTTTTTTTTACGACGCTAACGGTATAAATGTGCTTGTTTCACTATGTGACAGTATAGCGGAGCGGTAACAGTTGCTGAATGAGAGTAAGCGATTGAGGGAAGGGGGGATGATATCGACGTTTCAAAAATTCACGTCGACGAATTCCTGTACCGTTCCTGATCCGCATCGGATTTAACGCAAGGATTCTTCCTACGATTTTGTCGACAGGAAATTGATAAATATTGTCAAGACGTATGCAAATTTTCGAATAAAACAAGTAGTATGAAATAAATATTTGAATACGATACATGACGATATTTGCAAAGCTGTAATAATCTTTTAGCAAATCGATAGTCAAGATTTTACTTTAACTTTTGCATGATTCTTATATAAAATAAAAATTTTCGTAATACTAAAGAGAGTTCCAAATACTATTATAAATATTACTTGTCATCTGCGTCATCTGCGACTCGGTGACAGAGATTTCTCGGTTCTGTTCGCCATGTACTTTATTTCTGTCATATAAGTTTACGGAATGTCAAAAGAGTATAGGTGCATGTAGGCCGAGAGATATATTGAAACTTCCATAAAAATAAACGAAACGATAAATATTATTATCAGCATTGGTAATAAAGTGAGGACTCGATAAGCGCTTCAGAAAACGATATTTCCCTGACGCATTTTTTGCGGCACAAATTTCCGCAATCTTTCCTCGCAATGAAAATAGGAACAGTACATTTGCATTAATAAGCGTGAATTTTTGAGAACACAATTTGCAGTAACACGAAGGACAGTGGGCGTTTAAAATATTATTGTAAGAGAATAAATCTGCGATTACGTGATGAGCGCGAACTTGAATGCGAATGTGTGCGTGTATACAGGGTGTCTCATTTTATTTTAAACAGCCAAATTTCTGGAAATCACGGGATTTTAGAAAAAAATGTTTCGTACAAAAGTTTTGTGACTTTGAGGGGACATAAGAGACAAGGAGACCAGACTTCTGCGATCAATTCACCGATTCTGGAACGTTGCATCCAAGTGATCCCTTACAATGTCGGCGGTAGAGTAAACTTTAAGCCTCATAATTCGAAAAGTGCTTAATAAAAACATACTTCAATCATAGTGTTTTGAAAAGCTTTCGAGATAAGCTACAAGAATATGCAATAAAAATTGGGGATTTCCATTTAAGAAATTGAAGGTGACCTTTATGTGATCTTCAAACGACTATCCAAGGACAAACCAATGGCACCATCTTATGTCCCTCTCGAAGTCATCAAACTTATGTACGAAACAATTTTTTTCTAAAATCCCGTGATTTCCAGATATTTGACTGTTTAAAATAAAATGGGACACCCTGTATATTGGAAAACGTACGTGATGGATGTATGTATACATATGTATGTATATATGTGTGTGTATAACTGTGTAAAGTTCCTGAGTAACGGCGTGAACCCCGTTGATTTTTCACCTTTGGTTCGATTTTCCTTCCTTAGAAGGGAAAATGCTGTCTAGCTGGAATAAATAGAACGTCGCGAATCGGTTCGAAATGCATCGAAATATTTTGACTGTGAACAATGTCGATCGCACAAATTACGTTACGAGAGAAGATCTTATTTCGTAATGCGCTTTGAGATCAAACGTATTTAATTTATTAACCATCGCGAGTGTATCGTACGTTTTTTCTTATAAGTTTTTGTTTGGCAAGTAATTGTAGCAAGAGAAGCTCTGCGTAAAGAAGTAAAGTACAGTTGATTGATTGAATTTTGATAAAAGTTGTGTTCTAGTACTGGCTTCTTTTTGTTAGTAAGAATATTTTTTTGAAGATTTGGAACAATTATTACGACCTACACCAGATATATGCACGCAAGTATGTTGCCGCGAACGAAAATCCTTGGATTCCGGAGTCTTTCGACGGAGGCGAATTCTTAAACTACCTATCGAAGTTGAATTTTCTCATGTGCTTCTCGAGTTTTGAAATTAAAATTTTCAACCTTTTTGTAAAGTTTATTCTAAAATATTTTTAACTCAAATTTTTATAGAATTTTGCGTTATTCTATCCTAAAATTTTTCAATATTTGTCACTTCGATATCTGTCATTCAATTTTATATTTTCAATATTTACATCCGTAAATCTCAAGATCCTCGGATGTTCGCGAATCTTTGGATCCTCGAAGCCTTGCATTCTCGAATCGCCGGAAGACCAGACTTTCGCATTGTCGCATCCTCTCGGATATTTCAATCTGCGGATTTCCCGCGCCTCTTAATCAAAATGTCCCGTTAGCAGCTTCGACCACCTTTCACCTATCGCCGTCCCCCGATCTCGCATGTGTATACCGTACCTTAATCTCGCCGCTAGTGCGGAACACAGAACGGAAGAACCCTTCCGTCGCTCGTGAGAACCCGATCGATTTTTGGGGGCAACGATCGACTCGGGTCGCACGAAGCGGGCGGAGAGCTCGCAAAGCCCAGTGTGGTCCCTGAATCGAGAGCGGTACCGCCTGTAAGTGTGAGGGCTACTCCACACTCGCTCCCTGGCGCTCGCCTGTTTCGTTTTCTCTTTTGTCTGTTTTGTTCCTCTCTCTCTTTTTTTCTCAGTTCTCAGGTGACATAAAAGTTCAAGCGTGAGCATGACACACGGGGCGAAAAATAAAGCCACTGGCGGTGCAATAACTGCAAACTACTTGCAAGCAACTACTCGCACAAAACAATGAGCAGCGATTAATGTTAGCACATATGTGTATATACGTATATACATATGTAATGTAAGCAATTAGAGACGGACGATTAATTAATGCAGATATATATACACATATGCGTCGAAAATGAGCGTCGATCGTAATGAGAGTGAGACACACATACATATATATGTATATACATATATGTACGCGATGCATAATGTATGTATACATATATATAAATTTATAATTATGAATATGTATGGCGACACGGGTAGAAATAGCTTAAGGACCTGCTTTTGGGCCATCGACTGCATCTGCTGGAACATGATCCTTTCCTCCTCTTTTCCTAGAACAGTAGAAAATAACGAGGAACTCTTGGAGGAACTGTTTGGTTCCAGCTTCTCGGATCGTCGATGTTATTGTGAATGTGCGTGTTATTTGTATGCATAAATAGTGAGTCTAATAATTATTACATCAGCTTACTCGAGTGCAATATGGAGTGCATTCGTTAGTTTCTCTCTACAGCTTTGTATTATCAACATAAATTATTTATATTATAATTAATGAAACAATAGTGATTGCCTATTTCCATTTCAATTAATAAATAGACGCTAATGTTATTAATAAAAATGTAATGTGTTATATTATTGATAGAAATCAATTTCTTTCATATATTAATTGTTACCAATTGTTTTCAATAAAATAAATTGAAGAGAGAAAGTGTTGACACATCGCTCGGTTGGAGCATTGTGTGTGTCAAATGTAACGTTTTACTCTAATTCGCATCGTAAATAATATATTTGTGACATTGTTCCATTTTCTTTCTTTCGAAAGCATTTATGTATTTATATATTTTTCGTAGAATTATTTTATGAAACTAATACTCTCTTGTGTCTTTTCGTTTGTGCTCTGTTATTTTCACAAGGTGAGGTATGCGTTATGTGCATCACAATAATATTCTCAAAGCATAAGTATACTCGCTTATTGTTAGACAAGTCGCGGTCTGTGCGGATTTAACGAGATAATTTGATTCACTTTTGTGGTCGCCGAGGGCGACCGACGGCATATACGCGAAAAATTTGTTACACAGAGGAAATTAAGTCTTTTCTTCGTTAGATGAGGCAACACCGGGCGTTGTTCATTTGCGTATTGACCTCGCAAAGTTAATTCTAACTAGTTACTATGCGTGTTTGCCGCACAAAGTCATTTACGAGTGCGGTATACATTTAGGTAAATTACTTGTCAATGTTGCGAAAACTCAAATAAAAGCTCGTTCGTGCCGCTGGCAGATATTTGTCTTTTTCTCAAAAAATATGAATTGGAATATCAAGCAAAACTAAATCTTAAATATAAAAATCGGAAGATTAAGATTTTTCTTGCCATTGTTGTCGTTTTTCGCGTTCAAAGCAATCTGTTTTTGAAATTTATATGCATATATTTTATATTTTTATTTTCAGATTTTTTATTAAAATAAATACTTTTTACCAATATATAAAACATTTTACAGCATATTAAGATTTTCCAGTCCAAGGTTATATTTTTTGAGAAGATTAAAAAATGCTAAAAGGATTGATCTTTATCAATTTATGCTATTTTTTCCATTTATAAGTTTCATTAAAAACTGTATATATTATAATGTATCACTCTGGTATCAACAAAATCTAAATCTAAATCTTTTTTCATCTAATTACTGCAGATCTTCTATGATTATCTCAGTCAATAACAATAATAAAAGTTACGCATGGAATTTTCCAATAAGATACAGTGTTAAAATAATTAATTAAAAAATTTTAAAGAAAAAAATTAGCAAGCAATGCCTCACCCATCCCCTTGTTCTGAAGCATTTCGAGGAGCTTCTTGATACTCTCATCACGAGCCTGCAGCGTCTGCTTTTGCGTTTCTATTCTTAATTCAAGTTCCTGCAACAGAAAAAAATGAGCAGAATTAATTAATGATGAAGAAATGGCAATAATTAAAATCTTTTATTTTTCATTATTTGTCGCTATTTTATTAGATCATGTAATAAGTAATTCCGTATTTTACGCAGCATGCTTTTATAGAGTGTAAAATCGTGATACCGGTGGAGCTTAATTATAACTTCAACAAATGAATATTTTATTTACGTGTTAATCAAACTGCGCTTTGCTCGATAAAAAAAAGTAGACATGTTTATTTAAAAAACCCAAAATCATTTATTAAACAACCCAATATTAATTTTTTTAGCAAATCATTATTTTAATATCGATAAACTTCCGAAAAGCTATCACCTTTGATTTGGCTGATTTTCAGCCTAAATACTTATTTTATCTAATAAATAATATTCCCAAATGGATTTTTGGCGCAAATGCCTTCTCCGCTCCCAGCCCCCCTCAAAGGTAAAACTGTTTTTGTTAATTATTTCACAAAGTATTTATTGTACAAAAAAAGTTGTCAAACAAAAAATTAAGCTCATAAAAAGCTCTACAAATAAGGTCCTATACATATTTTATCTAATTCCAATATTTTAGTCGTTATTATCAAAAATCTGAAAGCAGTGTATTCCGCCACCCTGTGGGGGGCTCCACCATCAAAAAACTATACATATAGGGTTTGGATTGAATCTCGCTTTGCGTAGAAATTTGTAAACTCATGTAGAATCTCGCTTTGCGTTGTAAAGTGTATGCGTGAATGCAGGGGGTGCCGCCCCTCCAACGGGGGCTTTTACAAGTTTTTTGATAATAACGACTAAAATATTAGAGTTAGATAAAATATGTATACCACCTTATTTGTAGAGCTTTTTATGAGCTTCATTTTTTGTTTGATAATTTTTTCCGTATAATAAATATTTTTTGAAATAATTAACAAAAACAGTTTTACTTTTGAGAGAAGCTCAAAAGGGGGGGGGGCGGAGGGGGCATTTGCGCCAAAAATCCATTTGAAAATATTATTTACTAGATAAAATAAGTATTTAGGCTGAATATCAGCCAAATCGGAGATAGCTTTTCGGAAGTCCACCCTTTAATATTTATATCAATAATTTCAATTTTTACCACATAAAATAAAAAATTCCACCTATCGCGAGTTATGATAATATGTATATCAATTTTTTTTATATCACCATATATTCAATAATAAAATGATGTATTAACTTTCAAAACAATACTCGTACTTTTAAAACGCGGTTTTATGTACCTATCAATTTAAATCTACAACATGCATGTGAAAAATGAGAGTCAAGCATTAAGTCCATCAGCAAATAAAATTTAACCAATTGTAGAGCACCGTAATTAGGGCTTTATTAAGAATAATGGACAACTTTGTTGCGCTCAAAATGTTAACAAAGTATATTAAGCTCACGAAATTATCTCACAATTAGTATATGTCGGCGGTATCACAAAAATGATGCAAATTCGATTATATAACATATATTCCAACACATTCGTCAGAAAAATATATCGATATTATTTTATAAAATTTTATGAAAAAAATGAATTAAAAAAATTGTTTAGACAATTAAAAAATTATTTTTTATTTTTAGATCATCAGCATTTTAAGCAAATTGTAATTTTTAACCTGGCAATGGAAATTTGTTTAAAAATTTTTGCAAAGTTTTGTGCGCGCACATTATACAGAGTTATTTTGCTTCAACTGACGTAGTCCGGGTAATTATCTAATACATTTGATTTGCGCGAACGTTAACGGCGGATAGTGCTACCGCTTGGCACCCGCATAACGAATTTAGCACGCCTCTTTGACGGCGGGAAAGTAATTAGTCTGGAATTAGACGTCCCCTTCCTAGCACTAGTCTTCCACTAGCTTTTCCCACTATGCGAGAGGAACATTTGCGTGCGACATTACCTGGACCTTGTAGGTAGCACGGTATTTTTTGAAAATGCGAGAATTCTCCATTACGGGCGAAGAACCGGCCGACACTCGGTAATTAATGCAATTAAACTTCTTTAACGAAAACCTTTGCAAATTTCAGTCTGTTTGAATTCAGAATATCATTAGCATTATTGCTAACAGTTAATTGTAGCCAGTCTCGCAGAATAAAATTCTGTAGAGCCAATCGTGGCAATTTAATTTAAAGTAAACTAATTAAATATTTCAACAAAACTATATATATAAATATTTTCGAAAATTATTATTATTATTATAATATTAACATCATAGGAAATATAATAGGAAGTATAATAATAAAGAATTAATCAATACGATTAATTAGCAAAATTCGTAAAAAAATGATTTGTAAAAAACCAAAATTATGAGTATGAAATATAAGAGTGCGTATATTGTATTATTGTAAAATGTTCTGGATATTCAGTTACGCTCGGTCAAAAATTTCAGAATGCGTTCAATGGACTCGATGGTCAAATTTGATAATGAGAACTTACGGACGGACGAGAGACCGAGTGCATAATCTGGCGAACGGCCAAAGGCGACCAGTTGCTTTCCGTACGTTGTACATTTGACCTGTCTGCGACGTTTTCGGTCGCGACGGACAAATATTACTCTCTTCCTTACAAGATCAGATTATTTTCTGTAGAAATATTTTCGAATCCACTCTTTCTTCAAATAACTATGTGCACACGAATGGCATCTGTTATGCGAATTATTTTTATCTTGCAATAAAAATAAAATTTGTGCAAACAATATGATAAATGAATAATCAAATATGAATAGGATCAGATGTGTAAAATTAATAAATATTATTTGTTACAATAGTACTTAAACTATTTCATAATTCTATTTAAAAATGTATATTGTGCCAAAAAAATTTAATTAGATTGTATAAAAAATATATATAAATTTTTCACGTCCAGTGCATTGTTTAGTAAGTGCAGAACGTGACATTTCCATTACATGTCTAAGCACATCGATTCGATATGCATTAAGTGCATCGACGATGCTTATTTCCGACGTCGCGGGCGGTGGACTTAATGAATTTATCGCGAAAATGCTGATATTTGCGTCGTTGCCAAGATTTCCGGAAGCATTTTGGATCGTTCACGTAGACAATCGGTCGTTTACCTCGAACACAACCTAAGCCTCGTCTATTTCGGTTTTCCAAGCACGGCCGCGTGGCATGCCACCGAGCAGATTTCGCGAACGGCTTGGTTTGCGATTGCGCACGTTTATAAGTAGCTACACTCAAAAAAATATTTCGCTGATGTAGTTAGATTTCTAGATATCGCAACAAGAATGTATCGCTATTTTTCGTATCTGTGAAAACATTGTTTGTCACATATAGAATTTATAGCAGTAATGTTCTAGCAATAACTTCTGAAAAATTTAAGTACCATTGCTAAATGTTATTCATTGCATGATCTAACACGTGATTGATCTTATATAGATAGGCGCTTTAGAGAAACTTTCTTTTTAAAGTTCACAAACAATACAGATATATATTCTGTTTCTGTCATCTAAACTGATTAAGTAATTACATATGCAATATCACAACAGTTGCTAATCATTTATCTATTTTAGTTAATTTTTTACACCTAGAAAATTTTAGCTATTATTGCAAGATCATTTTTTTGAGTGTACGCAAATAAATTTTAAATAAATTGATAATAATATCATAAGCAATTTGGTGAAATTTCTACATTATCATATAAAATTATAATTTTATTAATATCAAATAAATAAGAAAAATAAACAAAACTAGAACCATTAATTACTATAACAATTTATTAACGTAAAAATACATGAAAATTCATAAAATAGGTAAACGTATCCAAAGTATAGGTACTAAAGTATATTAGAGTTTTTGGAATATTTGCGAGCAAAATATTGGACAAGTCCGACGTATTTTCCCTGAATACGTTCGAAATGTTGGGGCATGTGACAGGCATCCGATGTCGGAAGATCGGAAGATAGTATGAGGTCCAATATACCTATCTGGCAGCCACGCGCGAACATTTTCTCAAACATCGGAAAACTCTCAGAACTGTCGATTGGCGAGAAAAAAATAAAACAAGGAAAGGAAAAGAAAGATGGTGGGCGTGACGCCTTTCTATTTAGTTTATTCACTGGTCCTTATTTTCATTATTCCCGAATTATAATGGGATCTCCCCTTCTGCTAAAGGCATGATTCTCCCAGAAGCATTTCAATCTTCACGACGGCGTGCGCCAATCTATTTTGAGCTCACGACCGCATTATTTTCAACGTAAAACGCGGAAAAGCGACTTACAGTCGCGCCCGTTAAAATTAATGTCATAAACGCGCGGCCGGAAATTTAATTCTCCGTCGGAAAAATTCAACTCGGCAGAAAATACCGGATTTAAAGTATCGTCATTTTACAGAGATAATTTCACACCATGAATGTTGTTGAAATCGGTTGTCACTCAGAAAAGTAATCCATAATTCATGGACGTTGACATTACAACTTACCTTTATCGTATCACGAAGTATGGCGATCTCGCGAGTCAGATGCTCGTTCTCATTGTACAAAACTTCCATTTGTTGCTGCATCTCGACGCTCGGCCCGCGTATCCTCATTCTGAGCTCCTCTTCCAATTGACGGACTAATATGTTTTGTTTCTGTAATGCAAAATATTGATAATCTTTGTTATTAATATATTAAACAAGTAGGCAAATGTCAAAACTTTATCATGCTGTTGTCAAAAATCTTTTTCAAGTTTTTAGTTTGTTTCAAATTTAATTGATATTAATAGAATAGAAATAGAAGATCAAATAATTATATCCTGATTAATAGATTAACTCTGAGATTAATTTAAATTATAAATGTAACAATAATGCTTAAAAAGCTGATTGATAAATATGTTTTATATGTCAAAATTTATTATTTTAGTTTTAAAATTATTCTATTTCTATATTAAAGACAATAAATGTTAAATCTGTTAAATCTTCTAATAAAATTTAAAGCAAGAGATAAAGTTTTTTGAAATAAGCAAATTTAACTTTACTATTGTTCAACAATGTTGGAATATTAGTAAAAAGCACGCGCTTGCCGCAAAAGTTGATTTCTATATGCATCGTTACGTCGACAGTTGTGTTACACGGCGGAAATATGAAGAAACGTTTGTCTTTGTAGTATGAACTTTTTTGTCTCACGTAGACGCACTTTCAAGTAGTATTGTTCCACCGGAGTTTTCTGGTCTGGGCTTGTTAGACATCGTTAATGACGCCGGCGACACGACATAAGCGTGCGGATGGACAAAAGTCGCGCCGCGAAAAAAAATTCCCGACTGTACTTCCGGTGCAATTAACAAAGGCGTGCGCTACATACTAATGTGTTGTCTCGTTGATTAAACCTTTTGTGCGTACGACGCACGTTTCCTCGTCACGTTGATGAAACGATGAGTGTTTTAATTTTATTGCAATTCAAAAACTTTATTTCCGCAGGTAACATATTTTCCATGCTTTACAAAAAAAAAAAAGTAAAAGAGTATTGCAAAAGTTTACTATATGTATTATACAATGTTTTTTCATTATATGAATCTTTTCTAAACTAAGGAAAAGTTGCACAAAAAGTCCAATCAATGAGTGACTTGTAACAAAATAAGGAAAAAATGATTACTTTGGTTTTTAAAATTCATAAAGATCGCCAATAATTTTATTTAATTTCTAGTAGTAACGCCTATATTTGCCGAAAGTGTGATGTTGATAAAAATTTTATTCTATAGGCAATAACGGCTATACAGACAATATAAAAAACTAAAAAACTTTATTTTTCACCTTCAGATGCGACGCAAGCCCTTTTCGTTGCTATCAACAACGCGAGTCTCTTTTTTCGCGCTTCTCTCCCCGATTTTTCCTAACGCACGTCTATTGGCCCGTTCTCGTTCTTTCTTTTCTGTATAATTAAGTCCGTTAAATAAACGAAAAAATTTCGCGTCTAACTTTCTACTATAATTCTAAATAAAAATTGCAACATTAAATGCATATTAATAAGTTTATCCTAGTGTAACATAATGAGATAATAAGATTTACAAAAAAAATATAATTAAACGAGATAGAAAATATTATTTAAAAAATTAGTTTATGGCAAAAAGTATCGATACGCGTGCAAAAGTCTCATCGAAATGTTTCCGATAGCACGCGAGGATCATGTTATAACGAGAATCTGTGAACACGTGTAACGAGGAACACTAGTAAACGAATATTTCTGCACAAGCCAATGCGTTCAATATTACCGGTTGACCTGATTTGGTGTGCGTGGAATCAATGCTATGCGATACGTCATGAAGGGTGAGATGCAGCGGCAGGGCAATTGCATTTTAGCATGCGTGACGTCATTCCCCCTTTAACTATCCGCAATTTCTGTGTAATCCATTCGTACTACTGCCGAATATTATTTTTCATGTACAAAAGTTTCTACAAATGCAGCTGTTATACTTTTATTGTTTTTTGTTATCTCAATATTTGTAATTTGTAATTTTATTATTTGTCTTATTTATTTGTTGGTTCGATTTTTTCTTAGTAAAATTAAATTTTACTTGTTGCATCTACTTAACTTTTGATGTTAAAAATTAGTAACAATGTTTTAAATTTAATACTGCTTAAAATAAACAAATTAAAATAAATTGCGCTTGATTAATTACCAAATGTTAAAAAAAATCGTTACCTATCTATTTACATGGTTAAAGTTAAATTTATTAAAATTCTTTTTTTATTAATATAAATTTTATTAATATAAATTTGAAAATGCTTTAAACACGTTAATCCATTTTTTATTACAATTTACAAGACAATTATTTGAAATTTAAGCGAAAAATAGCGAATAAAACACATGATAAAAGAATGAACAATGTCAAATGCATACATATAATGCTTGATACATATTTTATAGAGCGTAAAAATCGAACAAATGTAAAATCAAAATGAGTTAATATTCATAACTTTGTCAAAAACAAATTTAACGCTTAGCGCGTCATCCAGCGTTAGTTGTAAAAATGCAAATATAATTTATAACGAGTGCTTTTATCAATTTTACTGATAGACAAACAACAAGAAAACATTTGAAGATATTCAATACCACGAGAAGTTTAACAGACACATTAAGTATTGCTAGATACGTAATAATGATTGTCGAACAATCCGCAATCGGAGAGTGCTATAAATATTGCGTAAACATTTTATCAAGATATGACACGAGCAGAAGGTCGAACAGAGAAAGATAAATATACATTTTAGGTTACATCTCACCGATTTTGTCATTTGTCATTTAGATATGTTGTTTGGAGGTTGTTCTGAGTAATTTTCCGCAAAAAATCAAATGGGAGACGACATTGGTTTGGGTTAGGTTAGATTTTTGCGGTGTGAGGGTGCAGAGGAGCCTCTCCCCCGCCAACGTATTCCATAAATATTTTTCATCAGAATGAGAAGAAATAAGGAAAAATAATGAGCTACATGTATAAAAACATTTTATTTGTCTTTTTATTATAGTGAAGACGGATAATGTTTTGCCATTATATCAAAAAATGCTTCTATAAATTGTTCTGTAAATTAGAAATATTTAAAAAGATACTCTGCAATATAACCGGCATGTTGAAAGCTGTTAACTGCGAGAAATAGGTAAAGTCGACTGTTGATAAAATATCTATGAACATGTAGCTATTCTTTAAAAAATGTAAACAAAAACTTTACATACCGTGTTTATGTACAAACACAGCGTATATACACTTTACTGTTCGTAATATCAGTTTATAAGACCAAAATAAGAACATTAAAATTGTGAAACTTTAATTTGTTATATCTCCTAAACCAATACCGTCCCCCACTTGATTTTTGCGCGGAATCACTCAGAACAATCTCCTCTACAACATATCTAAATGGCAACAAAATCGGTGAGGTGTAACCTAAAATGCATATTTACCGAGGGAGGAAAAAAGATGAGGATTTGAAGTTTAACCGAAGCCCCTCTTAAGACGAGATCCTATTAACGATTGGGACGACCCTATCCCTCGCAACGCAGTGAACGTACCAACGACATGAAAACCGCTGGCCTATCTTGCAACTGATAGATACTGGCATGTCGCTAAACATATCGCAATGTTTATCAGAAAATCCGCAAACATTAATTAAGAGAAACGATAACGTCTCATGATGACCACTTAGAATTTTCTTCATGTTTATGTGCATGTATTGTATATACATATGCATATATATCGCGTATTTTTTTTAGGCTATTTTATTACTAATTAAATTGATATATTAAATGAATCAATATCACAAAAAATTCTAAAATTGCAGATCTATCAAATATTAATAGAAATATAAAAATATTTTTTAATATTTATTATAAAATTATAGAATTTTCACGATTTTTCTATTTTCTGCAGTACACAACGTATTATTTTATAAATTTATACGTTAAAATCCCAAAATTTTCCCGCTTTTATTATAGCAAATTACTGAAATATTAAAAAAGATATATAAGAATTTCCGAAGTTTCTATTTTTTTATTGCTTCTCTCTCTCTTTCTCTCTCTCTCTCTCTTTCTCTCTCTCTTTCTCTTTCTCTCTCTCTCTCTCTTTCTCTCTCTCTTCTACAAGTTCAACTAGCTGTGTAAACAATAGCTAACTCAAGCAATCAAGCAATCAGAAAATAGCATTAGTAGTTTTATTAAGAACTAGAACTAGTGTTAGTGGGCGGTATTTCGGCGAACGGTGTTTTGTTGGTCAGTAAAACGCGATTTTCGCAATCTGATAGTAACTTTCAGACGACGGCCGAACTACTTGAGCAGTACAAAAAAAATGGTCGAGACTGTGGCATAAAGCAGTCTGTAGAAATAGATCTGTGAATAAACTCATTGTCAGTACAGATATATCCATTCAAGAGAGCAATATACTATACATATGTATACTGATATATTCTGCAAGATAGGCGGAAGGTAAAAATTAGACTCTTATTTCTTCAAACGAGAAAGAATATATTTTTGCACGCTACACTTTGGAGTGGACCACACCAGAGTCGCAGAAACACATGATTTCGTCTCTTGCGAGCAGAAAGGGGGGGGGGGGAAAGAGGGAGAGAGAAAGAGAATTCACCTTCTGCACAGGTAGTCTGTGACTTTCATTAACAACGTGTCGGCATAGTTGTGTGATTCTCGTTGGCATTTGTTATTCAATCATTCGCTATTATTGAAAAAAAAAGTCCGATATGACGTTTCTTCCAAAGCAGCGTATTTTTATTATTGAGCATTATTTTTCTTCTCGTTCCTACAGAATTGTTCGTGAACGATATAAAACCGAGTTTGCTGGTTTGCAAGCACCCAACAAGTTTTGACGTGAAGGTACAGTGATGAATTTATCTGATAACACAAACCGACTTTTGACGTCTGAAAAAATCTCGGAAATTCGCGAAAAAATTTAAAAAAAAAAACATAATTTATAATAAAATTTTATTTCCTGCATTTCCCGTATCGTTATTTCCAAAATTTTATACTTGGGTTGCGCTTTATTTGATACGTATTTAGGTCTGGTGACTTTGATAGCCAGGGAAGATGTTTAACTTTCTGTTCATGTTTTTCAAACCACGACTGGACATTTCTAACTATATGGATAGGAGCATTATCA